CTATCTATCTATCTATCTATCTATCTATCTATCTATCTATCTATCTATCTATCTATCTATCTATCTATATATCTATATATCTATCTATCTATCTATCTGTCATTTTGCCAATGTTTGTATTATTTTCTGTGCCTGTCAGATTTCTGTTACTTTCTGGTTATTTTTTCTAGAGTCCAATAAATAACACCGTTTTTAACAGGCTTTTTAAAGAGGTTTTCTTGTTTTTATATATCTTTAAAGCACACGACAGAGATGTACCTTTTAACCCACCTCACACTGATGATCCAACCAAGAGGAAAGAAAAATCCTGACCTCTCGATGCTTAACAATAAGGTTAAAGAAAGGTTTTTAGGGTCATTTGTTTTCCTTATGTGTCAGATAGTGTTGCGTTAGCGGCGGGACAGCGGCTGGAACTGGAAGGAGGAGTCTGGGTATCGGGGCCTTCTCCCGGCTGCGGAATGAATCAAATAACCCACGGATTATGACCCAAAATACTTCAAAGGCACCGGCGACAGTTGCTCAGGGGCAGGGTAATGGAATATTCTCCGTCCGCGTCTGACCTCAGCCCAAATTAGCGCGCCTCTCGCTTCCTGAGGACATAATAGAAGGCAGGAATTCCTACAAACAGAGAGGAACTCAAGGCAGCGCCAGTCCAGCTCAGCAACTTATGGCTGGAGAACCCTTGTTTTCGTCTTAAGGTTCAAAACTCCAAGCAATTATTAGCTGTTGATAATATTAGCTTCTAATGTTACTTTTTAACTGGTGAGCGCCCCATTGAAATAATCCAGTTTAATTACAGGATTTGCTTTTTTAAAAGTCACTGACGGGTTGATAGCAGGAAATGACCCTAAACTCCTTTTTTTTCTTGTGTGGTATCCTTTGTGGTTGCCTCCCTCCATCTTTGTCTGGTGTACTCGGTGGACCCCTGTGCTCCCGTCCGTCCGGGCCCCTCCTCCACAAAGACAAGCACGTCTGTCGGCTGAAGGGGTCAGCGAGGGCGGTCACTGTCAGGTGCTGTTTGAATAACATGCTGCTTTGCTTTCTTGCTTTTTTTTTTCCTGCGCAGAGACGAGGCTGTTGTGGCAGAGCTCGTCACCTGACAGCGCTCAGAGGCTGAGAGCGCCCCTCCAGCAGAAACGCTCCAAATCCACCCACCCTGATCATTCCCCTTCAGCTAAATGTTAGGAAACCAAACTCTGAACTCCACTGATCTCTACATGGCTTCATTAGAAGGTGTCTTTCAGAGCATGGCTTTGAAAACCTAGCAAAATGTGCTAAAACCGCATAAGACCTGAACCCAGCTGCCACAAACAGAAATGTAAAGCAACCCCGTGATGGCGTTGACAAGCGTTGAGGGCTTCCTGGGTCTGGTCTACACTCGGTAACCCCGAGGACCGAGAGCAGGAGGAGAGGAGGAAGACTGGGGGGGAAAAAAACAAAAAACAACTAAACATATAGGGGGTTGGGAGGACTGTCTCGCCACCATGTTGACCTCATTGACCACAGCAGGACCAAGCTGGTGTGCACACAATGAGACACACACACACACACACCGAGTGACCCGATCAATATGTAACTACCGAAGCAGGCAGGATGATGGAAAGAGTGGGGGGTGAATTGTGGCGGATGGAGGAGGTTAAAGAAAGAGTAAGAATGAAGAAAAAATCCAAAAAGGAGAAAAGTTGTTAGCCACGCAAACAGAAATATGGTTTAATCCAGTCTTAATCCATAAGAGGCCCCGGTGACACAGGGGAAACAACCTATTTGAACTCAAATTGGAACTTCTGGAAATCACAGATCTTTCACATTTTGTGGTGCTACCTGATTTTTTGTTTTTGTTTTTTTATCTGATAAACCAGGTTCATTTGGTCAGTTTTCTGTGCCTTATAATTTGTCTTTAGGGAAAAATGGATCTGGGGTTAATTGGACATTGTGTAGTATTTTAAGTATTTTATTATTTAAAATCATTTTCTTCATTTATAAATGTTCCTCATTTGGCGTTTAATGACCTCTGACATGATCTGACTTCTCCTCATAAGGAAGAATTTCCTATCTTTACGTACACAGGATGAGTAAGTCCACGGAGGTTTCCATGGCGATCCACCATTTTGAAAAACTAATCGCAGAGTGGGACATAAAGCACTAGTCTGCTTGTCTAGCTAATGCAAGCACGTTAACAGGTAACATAATTCTCTATCTTGTTGGAGGAGTAATTACAGTTTGTCATTTCTTTTAACTTCCAAACCTCATCACCACAGAAAACTCCATGATGTGGAAGTCATGCTGTCATTACGCGGAGCTAGCAACACCCATTTGAAAACAGAGGAGCTAGAGAGCAAATTAGTTAGAATGCATAATATAATTTCAGCGTTAGATGGAGGAATTCCTACACAGGGTATCTTTAAGAAAGGAATCCTGTGAGCACTCGGAAGAGAAGTAAAAAAATGCATTCAGTAATGACAGGAATCTTAGTAACGTGGACGTCCAAGGCTAAAACGGACTGTAGCGTCTTCATGATAAATAGTTCATAGTTTTAAATCTTGGCGTTGCACATTCTGAACAATGTATGTTAACTTCTACATGAGTGACTGGCAGCGCGTCTCCTGAGTTTGGCCGACTCGAACACCATCCGCAGTGGCTTGTAAAGGCTGAGGTTTTTGGTTTGGTTTTGTCATGTCTTGGTCTGGTTACTTCCTGTTTTATTCTGAAAACCAACCCTCCTCTGGTTTCAGGTCTCTTGCCCCTCCTCATGTGTCTCCAGTCTGATCTTCTCCCCTCATTCCTCTAGTGTGTTTTACAGCCTCTCTGAGGGATTTTCTGTTGGTTATCTCCGTTTGTTTCTGCTGTTTTGTCTCCTTTTGGAGTGGCTTTGGTTTCTTATTCTTGTCGCATAACTCTTTTCATAGCCAGGACTTTACTTTTACGGGCATGTATGCAATTACACCAGAAAGAAGGGGGTTGACTTTATGCGTCGGGTTGGTTCCTGTTTCTGGGCGGTCGGTTTCCTCTAAAAGTGATGAGAAGCCGAGTCCCCGGCTCTGTGGGGGGGGGGGAGGCACTGTGGGGTTTATTGTGACAGAAGAGCTGCTGTGAAGACAGATCGGGATCCTGTGAAAAGAACAGAATTCCCATTTTAGCTCTTGTCCACCTCTGAAAAGCCTGATATGTACCAGAGGCAGAGCCAGAACCAGGGAAGGAGGTGGTTTCATCTTCTAAATGAAGTATTTTTTCGTTCTCTGCCACTGACACCCAGGTGTTACAGAGAAAACACAAGCTGGAATTGAAACATCTGTCCAGCTGTTTCCATCAACTGGAAATAAGAAAAAAATAAGATCCATAAGGGCTTGAAGGACCTCTTTCGGAGTCCCTGAGCCACTCTCCAGGACCTTCAGAGGTCTTGAAGTCAGGTGAGAGCTGTTTTGGCAGGGGGGGGTGGGGGTTACTTAATAGTAAACAGGTGGATTAAATTTTTGTGAATGATTTGAGCAAAAATGATACACAATATGTAAAGAAAAACACTACGTTGGCTCCTATGTCCGCACAGAGGTATTTAAAGGAAACCAGCATGCAGGGAGAAGATGAGAGCAAATCTGCATCAAAAGGGTTAACTGTCTGGGTCCAGGCGTGTGTGTGTGTGTGTGTGTGTGTGCAGTGGGTGGGGTTGGGGTAAGGGCACAGCTCTATAATGTCAGTCAGTCTTGGGAGTGTGAACATGTTTGTAGGCAGCGCAGCGAGGGAGGGAGGAGGAGATAGCAAAGGAGGCCAAAGCCAGAGGAGTGGAGGAGGGGTGTCTGCTAGACGGAGAGAGGGAAGTGGGGGGGAGGAGAGACGAGCCGTGCGTGCACAATATTCATTCAAACTGACAGAGGCTGCGTGTGTGTCCTGGTTTGCACTTCCCGTGGCTCCTTTGGGCTCTCCTCAGCCAGACAGCCCGGGCCGGCTGCACCGGAGAGCAGGAAGCCGGAGGAGAGGCCGATAGATGACAGGCGGGGAGGAAAAAGGGAGGAGAGCGGCGAGCACGGGATGGAAGTAAAGCAGACGGGCGGCTCAGTGGGAGGGGGGGGGCAGAGGTGTGGAGACAGAAGAATGCAGAGGGAAGAAGGAAGGAAGACGCCGCTGCTCCGGCTGAGGATGAGGAGGGTAAGTGGCTCCCAGCCTTTCAGTTGTTTGATATTTCCCGGCCGGGGCTGGGCTCTGCTCCCAGACCAGCACCCCCCCGGCCCCCCCCCGGCCCCGGCCACGCTGCGCTGGGACTGTGGGAGAGGCGGCCGGGGGGCAGACGCGATGTGACACAGTGTGTCCGCGGACGTCGAGCAGGAACGCCCAGGGAGGCTGAGGGAGAGTCCAGAGGGGAGGTGGACGGAGGTGGACGGAGGTGGACGGAGGGGAGGACGGCCGGGCGGCATGCTAACACGGCTGGGGGGGGCAGCGGGAGTCCTGATGGGGCACAGGCAGCAGGTTCGATTTGGATTTAAGGAAGAAAGTTTGTGTGAAAATGTCTGTGTGTGCATGTGTGTATGTGTGTGTGTGTGTGTGTGTGTGTGTGTGTGTATATCCACCTGCATACACATGGATGTTGAATGTGTGCCTGCTTTAT